ATATATATATACATACATAATATATATTATATATATATAAACTAACACGCTAAAGTAAAATGAAAAAAAAAACAAAAAAGAAAATAACTCAAGTATCTTGAATGTAAGAAGTAGCGCGCGGCCGTACGATGATTCACTTTATATTTCTACATTAATAATATTTAAAATACATATAATAACTTTAGTGAGAGACGGAAGTTTTCCATTCCGGATGAATAAATAAATATAAAAATAAATATAAAAATAAATATAAAATAAAATAAAATAAAATAAAATAAAATAAAAAAATAGGTGTATATATATATATACGCGTATATGCACGTAAATATATATATATATATATTGATAAAACTTTGAAAAAAAAAAATGAGAAATAAAAGGTACGACGTATGTCTGTATACATGTGTACAATAGTCTATAATTTTTCATGTTGTTGTACGAATTTTTAAGTTTATATTAAAATATTTTGTGCATTCATAAAAAAAAAAAGTACCAATACTCGTCTCGTAATGAGTCCTTCGTGCCTTACCTCTGTATTCCATTTTCTTATATGTGACATACTTTTTAATACTTTATTTATTTTTAAATAACATTCAGTCCTCTTTCCCCATCATTTATTCACTTTTTAACATAATTTTGTAATCGAAGTTAAAAAAAAAGCTCGCAATTCACCGCCAAACAAAATCGCAAGACTTAAAAAGATTCTTTAAGAAGGTTCGATAAAAAAAAAAGTAATGAGTAGCAACGAATTTATATTAATAAACTTTATTTACTGCTACATGCAAAATGCTACAGCTTATAGGTAGCCAAGTATGCCATTTATGATAAATTTAAAACATTATACTAGTTTTCTTTTCTATCTCATGAATAGAACTTACAGTAAATCAAACGAATTATTTGTTGGGTGTAATCAAAACGATGTCTTCTTTTTATTATTTCCAAATTATTTATTAAAAAAAAAAACCAATTGAAGTCAACAATCTCTCTCTCTCTCTCTCTCTCTCTCTCTCTCTCTCGCTTTCGTTTCTTCTTACCCTTTCACTCATATAATCCTATATCTGATCATAATTCATAGAATCTTTATCAAAGACATCCAACAAATATGCGTAGCTTATTTAAGAAAAAAAAAAAAAAAAAGTATGGGCATGATATTACAATTGAATAAACACGTAAATATAAGTGTACAATGGCTGTTTCTCCTTAAAAGAAAAATGGTTATTTACATAGACGTTGTATTGTAAGTTAATTGAACGAGTAAAATCTGGCAATCATAATTATTGGCTAAGGTTTATAGCCCAAAGGATAATCTATGGAAGTACATATACACATAGATATATAGCAAACGATCGATCGATTTAAACGAATAATTTTGTATAGTTTCTATTACAAGATTTAATCATGGTGTCCATATGAAGGAAGAGTTTCTATTCAACATCCTTGAATGAACATTGTGTACATTCAACGCATCTCATCAATAGAGGCAGTATTGGAAAAGAAACGAAAGGTCGTTTTAAAAAATCAATGTTATCTAGATTTATGAATCATTTATAAAACTAAATTAGTCCGTAGCTTCGTGGAATTTAAAGTAATGAATCTTCATAGCTCTATTATTAGGATACTTGATATTACAACAAGGACAAGTTGCATTAACCGCTCCTTCAACAACATAAGTGGTAAGATCGGTTTCCCTGTGGAAATTACTGTTGGTATCAGGTTCATAAACTGTACCATGTACAGAGAGCATATGAATAGCTATCTCTTCTCTACTCCAAACATGACGGTTGCAAAGTTTACAACAGATAATCGTTGCTTTATGTGGCAAAGATTCGGTCTTTATTGACTGCGATAGAAGTGAATATGTAGGATTACAGCTAGCTGTGGTACAACGACTTTTTGAATTGTTTCTATGCTTTGCAGCAAAATGTTGTTTGAAATTAGACATCGACCAGAAATGTTTACCGCATATATTGCACGAAATTCTACCGTCAGCATTTTGTATAGGAACACATTCATTTATTGGGGCTTTACCGATCACTTTTGCTATTTTTGGTTTATGAATCAGTTGTTTGTGTTTGTATAAAACACTCATGTTTGGGAATGTCTTTTTACACGAATGACAAGTAACTGGTTTCTTACTAGCATTGACTGCATTCAAAGTTAATTCTTTTGAAGATTCTTCTCTTACTTCCATATCCATTTTCTTCATTTTGTATTCCTCGCTGGATACCCGTCGAGTACTACTATTAAATGCCTGAGACCGAGGAGACTGCAAATCGTTGTGAAAAGACATTCTATGTCGTTGCAATGATTGATTGCTGCTGAAGATCTTTCGACAGACGTCACAGAGATATTGAGCACTCTTTCTACTAAGCGATTGGAACTTAATTGAAGCTACCGTGTTTGCTTTGTGAAGCTTTCTGTGTTTCGTCAAAGCTTTCTTTGAGCTGTAATGTTTGCTACATATCTCGCAAAGGAAAGTTTGCTTTTGTATATTGCTCAATATTGGATTGGCTTTGTGCCAATCCATATGCAACTTTAAACTTTTTTGATCGGGAAAAATATTGGTACATAACTGACATTGAAGTTCATCACCTGAGAAACTTTTCTCTGGTTTATTACGAGCACAGTGAACATCCCACAAATGTTTCCTCAACTCGACCACATCTTCGAATTTACTGTCACATACTTGACACTGGTAATCGTTTTGTGGCTTTGTAGGTGGTGGATTGGGAAAAGATTTTCTTGCCCTAGCTGGACGTTCGGGCGACGAAGCAACTAAATTATTATCATTAATTTCAGTAGGAGAAAGCGGAGTTAAAGATTTGATCTCATCGTTCAAAAAGGATCGAGTGTAAAACCGCGAATTCGCTCGATTATGCCAGCTTCGATGAATCTTCAAGGAGGCTTCTTCTAGAAAGACTTTTCCACATATATCGCATTCTCGATTCCCGGGTTTATCTCCGTGAGCACTACTATAATGAAGATCCAAATTAGCTTTGAAGCTAAATGTCTTGGGACACTGGCTGCACATCAGCATGACTTTTGTTTTGTGATCGAGCTTCACGTGTTGTTCATAAAGCTCTTTTGTTTTAAAAGATAACGAGCAACGTATACAAGTAAAACGTGCTTTGTTATCCTTGTGAATATTTCTAAAGTGTCTTCTCAAATTTGGATAATTGGAAAATATCTTTCCACATATGTTGCATATATTTTCTCGCCCACCAGTGTCCGAGACAGTACTCGTGTTAATAGTATCAATTTCCTGTGGTCTATTATCGAGTCGATCATATTCAACGCAAGAACTATTAGCATTTCTTTCTTGTGGATCTTCGATGCCATGATCCTTCATATGGATTTCTAAAGCACCAGCACTGCTAAACATACTGCGGCAAATAACACACGAATATATTTTTACTTTAAGATGAAGATTCTTATGCGAAGCCAATTTGGCTCTCGTTGTAAAATCTTGACCACATAAATTACAAACGTATCGTTGACCTTCCATACTTCGTCTAGACACTGTAGCTTCCTCGTTGTCACTCCACGATTTTAAAGGACTTTGCCCACGATGAGGGGACATTATCTGATTACTAGTAACCTCCTGATTTTGACTGACGGCCATCTGTCGATGCTTCTCGTGATGCGTCAGGTAATCACTCGGGGATTTGAACTTAGCGTTACATTCGAAACAAACGAATTCTTTTTTCTTATGATCGATAGTGATATGATTATGAAATTTCTTAAAAACGAGGAAAGTCATACCACAATGTACACATCTGTAACAAGTCCTTAATTCCGGTGATAGCCTGATGCAAATTACATGATGTCTTAACATATTAGGCTTGTATCTGTAGATCATACCGCACAAATTGCAGGGGTGATTATGTGCTGGATCACCATTTTTGTAAGGTCCAAGAATGGCTTTACTCATCTGAGGTGATTTTGGTAAAATATCTTTTTTTGGACTTGGTAAAGGTGTCATAGGTTGTAATTTAGGTGGCGATCTCATTGGTGACATCATTTCTTCATATTGTTTATCTGAATGTTTAGACAAATGACTCAATAATTCTTTTCTATTTGACATCGGTCGTAAACACATGTTGCAAGTGAAATACTTTTCGTTTCCTTCCTTAGGTATAACCAATGCAATTTTCATAGCACATTCGAAAGATGCACTACAATGTAGTTTGTACATAGATCGATCACGAAATTGTGTTAAACATGCGATACAAGTGTATGGCCTTAAATCTGGCATGTGTTGACGAATATGAATAAGTGTATGCTTTCTATCATTGAAAGTCTGTTGACACGAGTAACAGGAAAATGTCTTCAGTTGACTAATTATATTTTGTTGTACCTCCGTCAATGGTGCATCGTTCTCCATACTCGTCAATTCATCTTCCACGTCTTCTATCAATTCTTCTTCATCAGCAGATGTCGATTTAGATAAATTTTTATTCTCGCAATCTTCACTATGAAATCTTTCCATGTGTTTTATATAAGAATGCTTAGAATGTAGATTTATCTGGCAATGCATACATTTCTGTTTATAAACGCGTGTACCTCGGAAATGTGTGTGAGGACCTCGTTTCATCTTCTTTCTACTATTTGGAGTAGTTGCATTTGATTTTTGAGTAGAATCAGCTTCCATAATTCTCTCCTCTTTACTAGCAATTGCCATTGGATTTAAAAGTAATTCGGTACCACTGACAGATTCTATTTCTATTGTACAATCTGTATCATAATCATCCTCTGGTTCAGTTTTAATCAATAAATTATGAAATTCTTTATCTAGTCTGCATTCTTCCTTGTTGGCATTCTTTGATGAAGATGATTGAGAAGTTCTTAAATCCTTATCTTTACCTAAATTATATGTCTTGTCGATTTGTAATCCTTCTCCCCGAGCTTCATTTTTAGAATAAAATTTTCCCATGGACTTCACATGATTTGTTACATACTGAAATGAGAATTTAAAATAAGTCTGGAAATAAAATTGGACGACTAAACTTTCTTTACTTTAACTTACAGCGCTTGATTCACTGTTGGATTCAAATGTTTTATTGTTATCTTCGCAGTAATCTATATCCATAGGTTCTTCCTTTATATTTACAACCTGTTGAAATAACAAATATAAAAGATTTATCTTCTGAAAAATAGAATATTTAAAAATAATTATAATTGTACCACTAGATTTGTCTGCGGATGAGTTTCTAGCCATTTCTGTAGTTTATCTTGAGAATGAAAACAAGCTTCCTTGTAATTATACCATTGATTTACATTATCTATACAAGAAGAGCATATCAACGTGGATACTTTATCTGTAGACAAAATCTGAAATATAAATATATGGAATATACTTTAGTTGTTTTGGTAACTTACCTGTAAACTTTGAATAATAAGAAAAATGTAATATATGAATACACCATACTAAAGAAAAAATACTATGCAATTTTGTGCATTCCATTAATAATTCAATAAGAAAGTAGTCATCTATTTAGTATAAAACAATCCTATTATCGTAAACATTAAATCACGAGTAAAAAGATAGAAAAGATTGTAAACCAATTGGCATGGACATAACCTCAAAACGAGGTAAATCGAATTTCTTCTAAGTACGATACTTTGCATTAAAATTTGCTGGGTGTAAAATCAATCTCGTCGATTTGTAAATGCTTGATAGAAATAAAACATACCTGAAGCGATAAGCATGCTTGTATTTTAGTAACTAATGGTACAGCAGAAGGAGAGTCTTCCATCTCAAATATCGAGAATTTTGGTTCCTCCACAGAAAGACACAATCTACACACATTTTCAACGTTCAGTAGCTCAACGTCGTCCATCGTGGACGGCTTGTAGATGCTTTTCAAAGCACCACTCGAACCGTCACGAATTCTTCACTTTAAGGCCAGGTTAGGGACGCAGAGTTTTGTTTGTTAGTCGACATTTGAATACGGAATCGAGCGGTCCTTTTTAAACCATTCCTTTCGTCCAACTTTCTTACTAGTAAGAACCAGTCAGAATGCTTCCTATATCAACACGCGACAAATGTGAATGACTATGGTATGTTAGTGCTGCCATCTGAAGTTAAAATATCAATTAATAGATTAAACGTGGTTCATATCAAACGGACTCTAAACGTGTCGACGAAAGATAAAAGAATTACATACAACAATTATTTCGAAATAAAAGTAAGTATTTGTTATACCTAGTTAGAAAAAGACAATTAATTAACGATTCTTCGAATATTCTTTATTATCATACATCGTTTTTTGTCCTTTTTACACATTGAACATACACCTCGTATACTTACAATTTATATTTATATCTTATTAAATAATATGATACACATATTTCTTTTTTTGTCCAGATATAACAGAATATCTTAATTCTCGTAAACATTATCATATACGACGATGAATTTATCATGAAATTAGTAAAGATGAGATTGATGAAATTATTCGTGCGTTTGGCTCGTTAAAAAACGTGTATTTAAAAAAAAATCATGTCGCTATCGTAAACTATTCTAATTGTTTTGAGCAAAAGATGGATTTTAAAAATTGACAGGATTCGAAAAAATCGCATTCGGTGTGGTATCAAAAATTCATTATTAACAAATGAGATATCAAGCTCGTTAATTGTTTTGTTAACTACTTGGACCATAAATGCATCGAAACATTTTCAAAAGTATACTATGTTCTATGCGTTTCTAGTAAATTCGTGTGGTCAACGTACAAGACACCTCAAAATTGTAGATCATTTCTACAAATTTTTGTACTAGCATAACGTCTTCGTAAATATCAAATTATCCTCGAATCGAAATCAATGCAATTTGTTCTTTGCATTTTATTTGTTTTTCATTTTCTTAGTATTTTGTACGATTAACGACAATGTTTTCCTATATCACAATTTTGTCGACAAATTGTGCCAAGTCGAGATCTTTCGTGAATTTTTTATTTGTTATCTCTTTTGGAAGGAAAAAAAAAGCTTGATTTAAAACACGGCTCGTAGTATATTATAATGATTTTGCTTGTGCGATCTAATTCTACATTTAAATTCTGAAAGCTACGAATTTTTCTACGATGTAAAGTCATCGTAAATTTTTATATTTTTATGTTTTTTTGTTTCTTTAAATTCACGAAGGAGAAATGAAAAACGTTACAAAAAATCCCATTTGCTTGTTTATATCCTCGTAATCTATCACGTTCGAATGAAATAAAGATAATACATCGCTATTCGACGGCCAACCAGTTCCGGTTCTCATTCCATCGTTCCGCCAATCCAAATGATTAAAAGGATTTACGAGCGAGAGGGACTATAATCGCGCAGCAATTAAGTTCAGGTTGTCAAACAATTAGAATTGAAACAAGAATTTCTTTTCGATTGTTGACGCACGTAATCTTGCACGTTGAATTTCGTATCGTCCGGATGACTGCTTTTTCTAGCCTTCAATTCCCTAAAAATTCAACACATCTTTTTATATCTCGACTAATACAAATTTCTTATATCGATAATTTTATAGATTAGAAATGAATCGTTAATTATGCGATTAAGAAAAACAAAAAGAAAAACAACACTTAATTAATTATTTAATCTTGTTTCTTCTATAAGAACGTAAAGTTGGTATTATATACCTGGCTACTGCGAGAAATGCCAATTCGACGTTGAGTCCGGTTTTGGCGGAGGTTTCCATGAAAGGAACTTTGTACTCTTGCGCCAATCTCTCCCCGTCTTCCTTCTTGACCACTCGTTCCTGTCCGCAATCCGATTTGTTACCTGCATAAACAATATTTACAGCACTGTAATAACTATGAACTCTGACTTATCTCTTTTTTTTCATGAAATTCAAATCTTAATAAATAATAATAATAATAATAATACAGTAATAATAATAGTAATAATAATCATAAAGAATTACCGAGCAGCATGATAACGACGTCCTCGTTGGCATGTTCCCGGATCTCGCTGAGCCAGGCCCTGATGTTATCAAAGCTTGTCTTGTTCGTTACGTCGTACAGCAATAGAAGAGCTGAAATGCATTTATAAATATATGCCACTACTTTTATCGTCTTTTGTCGTCTACTAGGAAAAATCTTTCGTTTAACTTAATATGAAATTACTCTAAAAAAAAAAAAAAGAAGATTAGATTTATAAAACGAAACAACAAGAATAACAATCAAAATCGTGATAATAATACCATGAGCATCCCTGTAATAAGCATGAGTCACGCTACGAAATCTTTCCTGACCGGCGGTATCCCAAATTTGCAATTTAACTCTTGTCTCGTCGACAGTTACGATTTTGTTCTGAAAAATAGAAAATAATATTTCTCTCGTTAGAGTTGTACAAATTTCATTATATTATTATTGTTTCACACATTTAATTCGTTTTGTTTATTATGCGAGCAACGTGACGCGACGAAGATCATTTTCCTATCGATTTTAAAGATCCTGTTTAGAAATAGAAAATATTGATGATTGTTTTCAAATAAACAGAATGAAATCTAATTCTCACCCTGAAGTCAATGCCGATTGTAGTTATGTAGTTTCCAAATAAGAAACGACCATCGCGAAATCGAGTAAGTAGGCAGGTCTTCCCGACTCCGCTGTCACCCAATAGCATAACCTGAAGTTATATGAAGGTGATAGGATAAAATAAGAGATGAGGAAGGAAGATGACAGAGAGAGAGAGAGAGTAATGATTTATCACGATGAAAAGATAAGTAATAATGAGACATACATTTTTCTAAAAATCTTGCAAAGTATACAATGCTGAACAAACTCATACTGATATTAATTTTATAGGGATTTCTTAAAAAAAGTATTCTATGCTGAACATTGGACCAATTCCTTACGTAGAGTTACATCTACAATCATCAAATTAATGCAAATAAAATAATAATAAAAATGCAATAATCTCCCTATAATAATATATCGGCTCAATGAAGAAAGTTTCTTTTATCCGAAATTATGTATTCGAAAATCATTAATAATATGGATATTCTTCGAGAAAATATTTTCTTGACGAAATGATATGTAATGAAGCACGCATAGATATTTAAAAGACAGGTGACAGGAAATAGAATAGAAATAAATAATAAGAAGGGAGGACCTTGAAGAAGAAATCGAGTTGATCGGGTGTGGCTTGCCGAGCGGCCGAGTCGAGGTTGTCAAAGCGGTGGCAGCGGCTCGGCTGGCCCAACGGATCCTGGGTCCTTAGAGAGGCGGAGGAGAATCCTGGTGTGCCAGCGGTGGGGACCACCTGGTCTGGGTCCCATGTACTACTACTACTGGTGGGAGTAGTTGAGCTGCTCCAATCGGTCGACTCGGCGCTCGTGCCGCAACGCGAGCCCAGCTTCTTACGTTTTGTCACGCTACGCACGCTTTCCTCCACGTTATTCATGGACCCCTGTTACCGGGAGCACCAATTTGCTCTTCTTCTTCTCAGCCACTCCTCGCCGTTGTCGTCCTCCACGTCCTCCTTGTCCTCTTCCTTACTCTTCTTGATCGTCTTGATCGTCGTCGTCGTCGTCGTCGTCGTCGTCGTCGTCGTCGTCGTTTCGTGCCCTTACTTCTCTTCGACTTTCCTCTCCTCTCCTTTCCTTCTTCTTCTTCTTTTCCTTCTCCTGTTCGCTCTCTTTGTACCTCCTGCCACACGGCCCCAAAGGTCAATCAACTCCAGACGTACTCGGGACCCGTTCCACCGAGAACGAGCTTCTTCGTATTTCTCTCCTCGTGTTTCTTCTTCTTCTTCTTCTTCTTCACCTTCTCCTTTTCTTCCCTTCCTCTCGCTCCTTTTACTACAAACTGCGATTTCCTAACAGACAAAGGCCGAACAAGTGAAAGTTCCTTCGAAGATACTACCAAAGCCATCAGATTTTTGGCCATTTCATCATCGTACATTAAGGATAAAGATCTCTTTAATTAATTAACTTTTATTTCATATTTCTCAAATTGTAAAATCATTTTTCATTTTTAAATCAAACGGTTCTTTAATTTTGTCAAGTATATTTATAAACATTTGAATCAATAAATATTATGATAAATAATATTGGGTATTCTTATTGTTATGTCTCTTTGTAGAAGAGATCGGATAATATACGAGGCATTTACGAAAAAAAATTGTATATTTCGATAAGCAATAAATTGGATCGACTTGAAACATCAAGTTGAGTCATCCCAGATTATTATAATACTTTTTTGGGCCCATTTATGTTACACCTGTCGTTTGAAAGAATCCAAAAGAGTTTAATAATATGGTTACGAGGATTACCCGATTGGTGGCGCCATTCACGATACTATACCAAACAGCAGAATTTATGCAATATGATGCGGCAGGCATGAATGAAATGAAATAAAATGAAAATAGATTAGGGTATGACTATCTAACAATAAGCAATTATTTTCAGGCACACTTTGATACGTGCAGATTCAACGAAATGACTTAACAGTTAATGGCACGAACATAACTCTGGACGGATATAAATAATACTTTCATAATTTTTCGTTTTCATTTTATTTCATGATAGTAGAACTCACACACGCACGAATTGCAATTGAATTTTGTACTCGTTATTATTTTTTCACTTAATATTGTGGAGTTTTCTTTTTTCTATAAAAACCAAAATACTTTAAAGATAATAATTGTGTGTGTTCATAAGACTCACGAGTTTTTTTATAAGACTTGTCGTCCCGGGATTCCCCAAATTGGAAGAGGTTCTATCGTCAGAATCTCAGAAACTATTTGAAGATTCATCATTGAGTGAAAAATTGAAAGAGAGATTATAGACAACTTGACAATGGTTACCGATGTAGGAATAATAGATGTCACTATTAAAACTGCAAAAACAAATGGGATTTCGAACCTGAGCTGGAACTGAAAGAGACACTCAAAGAGATTCTTTAATCGGGCACGTTACACACTTCACTAAACTTACCGTCACTAAACTTTTACGTACAAAATTAATTATTTATTATACATGCATACGTGTGTGCATATGCATGAACACTAAAAAGCATATATATTTATTCTATATCGTAGATTAACTACGCTTCCCGTAGAACAATTTTATCAAATGGAACAACTATCGCGTTTATTTATCGCGACCGAGAATTTCGAGATGCGTTTGAACAAGTGTTACGTATCTTCGGTGTGCTCGCGCGAGTTGCTTTAAATAGAATCGACTCCGTAGTCCAGTCTAAATAAATACTTTCCATAACTCAAGTCTCACACGAAACTATTATTTTCTAAGTAATTATATAAATTGTTTCGCCATTCGTCTCGATTCAATTATAAATACAAATTTTCAACTTGCAATATTAAAAAGAAATTAATAAATATTTGTCCCGTTGAGAGAAAAATTATCCCTTTAAAAAAAGAAAAAAATAGAAAAATTAGAAATATGAAGGAGAAGAAAAAAATGGTTTGTTTTATTTCTTTTTCGAATCGAATAGAACGAAAAGTTAAAGTTATCGAAGGATTGTTTTTGGATAACGATCCGGAGAAATGATTTCCAATGAGGACAAAAGTACGAGGGTAAACTTATCAAAAAGGAGAAATCTTCTCTTTTTTTTTTGCCACTCCATTATATCGTATTTTCTCATCTCTCGCTTTTTCTTCCACCCCCTCCCACCCCTCCCGCCCCCAAGACTTTCATATACGTTCCTCTTCAGTTTTCTCAAGTTCTAACGAGACTCTTCTCGAGCTTCTTCACCGGTAAAATTAACTCATCGCTTTTATAGTTCCTCCGAAGATAGATTCTTTTTGTTTGAGAACGTCGTAAAAATAAATAAAAAAAACAAATATTGAGCGTGTAATATAATACGTGCAACCCCTAAAATGAAATTACTTCGTTCGAAAAAAATCAGAGTAAATATGAGATATACATAATAATAAACATAAAAGTTACAATTATTTGATTTAATTTTATTAAATTGAGTCAATATATATAGGGAGGACAAGAAAAAATAGAAGAATAAAAAGAAAAAGAAATAAAACGAGTGGACGATGCGCGCGCACATTTGATATCATCTTTTTCGAATGTTGCCTTAACCTCAAATGTTTGCCGACAGAGAGTCCATCTTCACAGCGGGAGATTCGCAAAGAAAAATTAACAAGGGGGTGGGGGATGGATGAAATCGTATATTCGATAAATATTTGCGACTTGCGTTTCTTTATCCGATAAAATGCACGAAGATCAAAGAAAACTAATAATAAGAAGATATATGAGAGCATGACCACCGCCATCTTTTCGGCTGAACAATTTCGACGAAATATCGGGGGTCCCCCAAATTTTGTAACATCGACCAATCGGAAAAGTAATGCATTTATTTTCTTGCATACTTTTTTTTTTTTTTAGGCATCATCTTGAATTTTTAACGAATTCAAGAAAAAGTAATATAATCCCATTTTTGATACGTTATTACAAATACAAACATTGCGTATTGAAAGATAAAATCAACATAAATTGTAAAGTATATTGAATACAACGTATGCGTGTATGTATGTATGCTATTATAATAATAATATACATGTAGCGTTAAAACGTGAAATTCGTTAATCCGTGAAATGATTAGATGTATCCTAAAATAATTATACTGATCTGTTTAAATATAAACAAAGGCATAATAATATACTTCAACTATACAATATATGAATTTGCAAGTGGCGAATAATTAAAGTATGAAATTGAAATTTGATCGGTAGATTAAATCCGATAGAACATCACGACTAAGAAAATATTGGTTTTCAAAGTACAAGAAGAGATAATAACTACGGGAATTGTTGTAGAAAGAAAAGCAGACTTTAAATATACGAATCAAATTTCAATTTTATACTTTACTACTCGTGATTATTCTGAATTCATATACATATAATATGTATGTACGAATGTAATAGTATGACAAATTAAGTCGGTGAGAATTACGTCGTCTAGCAATGGACAAAAATGATTATGCAATCACGCATGCATGCATACATACATACATACAACACATTTAGAAACATTTATAAAATTGTTACAGTAGTACCTATTTCACAAGATTAATATCCGTTGCGAACGTAACAGTAGCAGTTGGAGTATCATTATTCTAGCTTTGATATGTTCTTTCTCTCTCTCTCTCTCTCTCTCTCTATCTTTCTCTTTTTTCTTGATCTATTTATCTCCCTCGTTCGTTTTCGTCACGTTTATTCAAGATGACAATTTTACAAGCGTTTATTATATTCACCGAATACTATTAAAGATCACGAAACGAGATGATCATTTTCTTTATTACATTTTTATAATCGTTAATTTAAAAACACTTTGATTAAACGAAAAATATTAATTTTACACCGATTTATTAACGAACAAACGAACAAAAACTTCAAATATTTATCGAATATATGTATAGAAAAGATTTCTCTCACGAGTTATTAAATCAAAATGAAAATATTCACACAAAAAACGATAAAATATTTAATTTTCTTCTTATATCAGATATATTATCTCTCTTTTTTGAAATAATATATGAAACGTGTTACACACTGTTCTATTCTTTTTTCTTTTCTTTTGTTTTGTTTCTTACTCTGACGATTTATCTCTTCTTGCAACTACGACGAAAGCTTTGGAACTGTCAAGCGATTCGAGGGGTTTTCTACCCCCTAGTGGTGGAGTACCACCTGAAACCCGTGAAGAGGCGGATGAAGAGGAGGGAAACTTTAACACACAAACACCTTGATAATATTCACTAACACACTTGTACAAGAATCGTGGAGAGGAATATTATGAGATAGAGAAAGAGAGAGAGTTAATACTCTCACCCACGTTATGTTCGTGGCTACCAGGAGGTTTCAACGTTTCTATGGTGAAATGATGATCCGTGCCAGTTCTTCGTTTGCGCCAGCGCGTAATTCTCTCTCTCTATCTCTCCCTATCTCTCTCCTTTTTTATCTTTTACATTTTCTTTCTCATTCTGACACTTCAATTTATATATCATTCATCTTCCTTTTATCACCTCTTGGCAACAGGTTTTGAATTGACCCCTCCCCCTTCCCCCCTTCCCCCCACTGGAACGGTATAATCCCTATGGGAAAAAATACTAAAAAAAACCAATCGATATAACAAAAGGAAAACGAATATCATCGATATCAATCTCGTTTTAAACTTCCGCCAGTTTTCAGTTAGCATCGTAGTAAATAGGATTTTTATAATTAGTTGCATATTTAACCCGTTTTAAATGTAAATCATTTCGAACAATTCACTTTGCATATACAGTTCTACCCCCCGCCCTCCCTTTTACCATTTCGAAATTATGTGACAAATGAATCCGATGTACGGTGTACCAATTTTGAATCCACGTACATATTTCATTGTAATACGCATTCAAACACAATTATTATCAATACATGTGTGTTATTTTTATTAGATCTTTATCTATGAAACGTCTGATTAATTTCGCTTGATTTCATATTTAATTGGCTGATATATATTAATCAAATTGTCAATCTAAAAAATAAAGATAAAAGAAAAATGTATTATAATTATATTAGAAAGAAATTTACTATAATTAACGTATTATAATATTATTGAATCGTATGGAATCTACAGATTGCATCGATGCAATAATCATCATCGGACTGCAATCGTTGCGATCTTTTTTCTGAATAAAAATAAACAAAAAAGAAGAAGAGAAAATAAAATAGAATACTCGTCGTTGGATCTTGAAGATAATATTATACGAGATTTTATTAAAAAAAAAAAAAAAAGAAGAAAAGAAAAAAAATCGAATAATCTAAGATATCGGTTGGATAATAAAACGGACACGTAAAAGATTTCGTATTTTGCGAAAACTAAAAACAACGCTTGGAGGAATCCATCCTCCCTTTCTGGTCCCATAGGGAATTCCGTGGAAAATTGACGAATTCGAAAGGAAGAAATATTCTCTCGTTGATAATACATATATACATGAATAAAGAAGAACTTATGTGCAATGCATTACGTTTATTTGATGATAAACGAAAACATTAAATATTACGTTGCGTATAAAGAACCCCGAAGAACCGAATAAACAGAATTGAGTAAAGAACATAAGAAGAAAGGATTTAAAGAGAGAGAGAGAGAAAAGGGTTAGGAGGATGGGAATGGGGATTGGGATGGGGATGGGGGAGGGGAAGAAGAGGATACAAGTTCGTGACCAGAATAACGCGTAATCCGCTGACACACGTACGAGCAAAAAGTTCAAAACACGATACCTACCTGCTTTTAAGAATCTTTTCATCGAGACTCGAGCTTCTTTTTTCAATAACGTTCCTACCAATCATCATCCGGTGTATTTATCATTATTCAAATTTTATACGCGTTCGTTTTTTACATTTACATTTTGATAATATTTTTCGTTAGAACTTATGATATATCACATATATGTGTATATATTTATAAATGAAAAATTGATATATAGATGAGGCCCGTTGCTCGCAATAAATAAACAAATTCGATGTACACGTGTATATGTAATAACATTACATACCGTAAAGCCAATACCAACTGTAGCAGCAAAGTTTCCTGGTTGAAAATTTCCTGTATCAAATTGAACCAGCAACGATGTTTTACCTACACCACTGTCGCCAAGAAGTATCGTCTGTAATTAATAGGAAAACAAAATTCATTTAGTAATTATTATAATTATTATCATTCTTTTTTTTGTTTGTTAAATTTTGGACAGACTTTTTTTTGTATTTTTCCGGATATCATCCTGCGCACGTGCACAAGGTCGAAGAAAAATTTTCGATCAAATCTACGAGCTTTCCCTTTTCGTTCGAATTTCCTTTTTTTCTCTTTCTTTTTTTCTTTTATATTTTCGGCTTCACATGCTGTATTGGTTATCACGCATGAACGCTCATTATCGGAATCGATAAAATCGGGTAACAGGGCCAAGAATTTGTTTTTTTTTCGTTTTTCTAAACTCGTTCATCGTTGCCAAAAAATCTGCTTTCAGAGCTTATCTTTGATGATAGAAAAAAAAAAAATAAAAGAGAAGCAAGCAAGCAAGCAAGCAAGCAAAAAAAAAAAGAAATAAAATTAGCCCAAAGTGCACATCCACAATATCGATTGATAACAAAAATCTCTCTCTTCATTGGTATAATAATAATAATAATTAAAATCGCTGCAGTAACGTAATCAAAAAAGATCGTGTAAATAAGTCAACGCTAGTCTTTAGGGGCGGAGAAACTTAGTTCAGTGCCCTCCTTTTCTCTTTCCCACTCTTACTCTCGCTCTCGATGTATGCTACTCTACAACTTTATTACCTTTCATCATGGTGTCGGAAAGAACTCTTCAAACATAAACCAACACATTTTCTTCATTCTTCACAAAGTTATCTAACTTTGTACAGTCATATATTCTGTACTTTTTAATATATATATATATATAAATAAATTAGATTATAAATGATTAAATATGTTCTACAGTATGTATAATATCTTCAAAATGAAACGAAGAAAAATGATAATTTTAGTATACTTTTTCCTAATTACATCTGTCGTCCGTTCTCTAGGGTACTTATGTGGGGGTTGCCATGTTTTTGCTATGAGAAATTGCCGTCAAATTTTAAAATTGTGTAAACCCCAGTCAAATGAGGAACCCGACATAAACGGGAAATGAAACATAATTGGAATACACAAAAATATATATAATTAACATTTAAAATTCTCTTTATACAATGTTACGAAATAACGTATGAAGATATTAGAAGAATGATATTTTGTCTAGAAACGTATTAAAATAATCAACTGTAAATTAAAATCGAAAATCGATTTATTAATTAAATATTCGAATTATAAAGATTAACATTTAATCGTAGAAAAGTTGACGTTTCTTAAATAGAGCGTACGAAAATGAATGTGAATTACGTTTAACATTTTCACCCCTTTCCCCTAACCCCACTCCACCTCTCCGGACAATTAGGAAGGCAAAGTAATTACTATTAATGGGCAAACGTGTTTTCTATTCTTGGTTTGCGTTATATATGACCAACCAAATACGGTGCCTTCATTCGCGTTATCGACTTTATATATCGTAGGTGAAAGTGAGAACTACTTTCGAGAGTATTTATGTGTGAGTATGTGTGTGTGTTTGTATGTATACGTAAGTACGTGTCGAGTGAAAAATATTTACATTCATTGCAGATAACTTTTGACTAGTTTAGAACGATCATTTCGAGTCAACAACCACTTTTTTTAATCGTCATATGATAAAATAACATTTTGATGTATAGTATATATACAAGCTGTCCCAGTTTTTTGTTCCTCAGTCGATAATTTTCCCTCCAACACATATTTTAATATATGAGAATGAGAAAAAAAAGAAATGTTGTATATAATGAATATGAACTTTTGAGTACCCTGTTAAAAAATTATAATGTAAACGATATGATAATGGACTGGTAGATATTTCAATGCATACAAAAACAATTGTTCATATCTATTTGCAATGATAATATATTCGGATCTCTCATTTTTAAACTATAATATTACCACCTACTCTGTCCACACAATTTAGATTTATTACAAAATGAATTGCGGTCAGAATTAGCACAAGTAAAATATTTGATTAACATTTATGAATTCAATTAGATTTGTTTTAATTAAGTATTATCAATCTGATAATCGTGATCTTTCTACTACTTGTCCGTTTTAATAAGATAGACAGAGAGAAAAGAAAAAAGAAACAACCCTTAATATTTAACATAGTTGTGATTAATGAACTGCACAGCTTTTTGTCTGTCTGTTTGATAATCGCTTAGAGTGGTGACTAGAGAACTTAAGTAGTGGCAGGGGGAGGGAAACAGATTGATTGATGTTCTAGATCGGATAGTTCATGGCGGAGAAGTTGCTTTACCAGATCAAGGGGCAACAAGGGGAAAAATCAGAAAAGTTGGGGATGGGGGGGTCTTGTTCTGCGAAAGAAAATAGTATAGTTATTAAACTATTGATGTCATGACTGATATCGTAAAACAAACTGACGTTGCATGTTGTTTTCTTTGTTTTAGAATGCGCCTAGTAACGCTTCAAGCCCCACCCCCACTCCTCTCTCATTACAATCCTAAAACAGTGGTGAGGATAACGTTGCTAGGCAATATTTGCAAATTTTGCCTAATCTTTTCCTATTTGTTATTTGCAATATAACACTAGTTTACAAAATTGAATCTTTTTATCCGTTTATGTGAATTAATTTATGATCGATAACGTTCATTCTCGTGACCCGTTTTGGTCGAACCTAACCTCAAAAAATGTGCGCG